ACGTTTGTAAATGCGTGCCACTTGGCCGCTAGACGGGCCAAGTGGTAGATGCGCTGAACCCCGAAGGGCGGGCTCAGAGATTGTGAGAAAGAAAAAGCAACAGGAGAAAGGACAAACCTTTGGCAGCGAGGGTGACCCCTTCCAATTCCTCGTAGAAGGTCAGTAGGTCAGGATATTCGCGCTCAATCGTGTCCGCAATAAAGTGCAGGAGAGTGACCTGCTTGTCCACGGTTTTGACGTCGGAGAGCTAGAGGGTAGCGGAGAAAACAAGGTAGTTATCAATGAGTATCAGTCTTCAAATAATCGGTTGCGCTCTATACAGTACGACTGAATTTGTGCAACATGCCGACATTTGCGAAAGATTGCTACTCACTCGTTAATTGGCATGAATTAAGGTTGTAATACTGATTAGCATGTAGCCTATTCTCAATGCAGTTCAGTAATAACAGGATGTTGGCTTTTTAACGAGCTTCTTTCTGGCCGCTAACAAAAAGTATGCACTGTTAAACAATGGCTACTTAAGTAGAATGCATTTCTATTATTCACTTTGACCCCCTTTATAAATTAAAATATATTTTATGGAGTAAAATACACTAAAAATGCTTTCTTGTTCAATTTTTTAACAAACGAGTACAACAAAGAATAATTTTGTGAATGAGAAGAAGAAGACTCTATTACTTCCTGAGACTCGCATATTCGCTTGTATTGACAATCATGTGAATGCCTTCTATAAAATATATTAGAATTTATAAGGACAGTGAAAATCAATGAGTTAAGTGCATAGTAAATAAATATTCATTCTTTACGGAAAATAATTATTTTAAGTTGTCATAAAGACGCTCTTCAAAGGCTTATATTTTGTCGTGACTGGAAGGACTTGGGAGTAGACTACACGATAATCAGTATTACAAACTTACTCAATGCCGATTAGCGAGTGCGTATCAAACTTTCGCGAATGCCGACATTACACGAATTCTGAGCCGTACTGTATATTGACCTGACAACTGTTTCATTTAAAACATCTTTGCCCTGGTGTAAATTTGAAGATTACATAGACAGCAAAATTTAAGGGAACCATACATTTCGCGGGTGTTCTTCAGCTGCCGTCTCTCGCTGCATAACACTGCCGTGGCAATATCTGGCTCCCCGATTTACATATTTCCCTGCCCAAATTTTGGCCTTAAACGTTTTTTTCTCAATTTTGCCTCCCACAATGTTTTAACTTGCTTACTTTACTAATTAGCCTTCGTGACCACTTTCGACGACCTTGCCGTTTACATCGATTTTTCTGTACGAATTCAATTTTGTGTATTCTCTTAT